CCCCAAAACCCCAAAACCCCTGTAGATAAATTTACGAATTCTGAGGTAAAAATAAAATAAACTCTTAAAAACATAATTAAGACTGAATCTAGTCACTAATTTAATTTGCATGTTTAAACTATTGATCTCAATATTTTCGCTCAATTTATTCTTAATTGAGTAAACAAAGACTTAATCCTCCAAAGACAAGCAAGATATCTGTTATGGACTGGTTTTAAAGGGAGGTGCTAATAGAGGAGCTTATGAAGCTGGTGCAATCAAAGCTTTAGTTGACAAATTAGAATCTGACAAAGTCTAATATGATGTTGTTTCAGGCATTTCAGTGGGTGCCTTAAACGCTGCCCATGTTGCCAGTTATGTAAAAGGTGATGAAAAGTTAATGGCTGAGGATTTAGTATACAGATGGAAAAATATGACATCTGACAAGTTATTTTAGAGTTGGAGATTCGGATTTATAGAGGGTTTATTTTATCATTAAGGACTTTTGGACAACTCGCCACTTCATGAGTATCTGAACAAGTCCTTCGCAGCGCGTCCCTGTTGTAAAAGGAAAATACATTTTAATAGTGTTGATACCAACTCTGGCAACATTGTATCATTTGATGAAAAAACATTGGCTCAAGACCTTATAAAAGGTCTGGTTGCAACTTCATCAGTACCTTTTGTTTTTCCTGGGCTTAAGATTTAAGACACTCTTATGATTGATGGGGGCGTAGCTTGGAATCTTGATGTGGCTTCAGCCATATTGAAATGTAGAGAAGTAGTCGATTCTGATTCAAAGATAGTACTTGACATCATTGATGTTGATAGGAAATTGGATAAGGTTAAAAGGTTAAATTATACCACTGAATAAGGAACTATAAAGAACATTATTCGTTATTTGGAGATTAAAAAATATCATCATAGGATGAATGATATGATTGAAATAGAGACAGCTCACCCTGACGTAAAAGTAAGGTATAGGATTATTCCAAAATATTAGTTGGACCCTGTTTATAAGGAGCTTACCTTTGATGAGAATTTGATTGACAATTTGATATAATAGGGTTACGATGATGCAATTGAGGCCATTGATACCCAAAAAGAAAGATTATTAAAATATAGGTGATTATGTAATCGAGAAAGCGATGAAAGTGTGGAAATATCAAATTTATATCAATTAAGATAGAGTAGATTATATTAAGTATTTATTACTGAACATGTATTAAAATAAACTAAACTCATGATTTTATGGTAATAACAAACAGGGGTTTTGGGGTTTTGGGGCTACCGCTATCTTCGTTTTTCTTAATTTAACGGTCT